CAAATGGAATAACATTTTATACTAAATAAAATACTACTGCATTTAACACTTTTGAACCATATTATATCTTACATACATGCATATTACATCATGCATAAATATTTATCGCAGTGACTATTAGTAGGTACTGTACGAATAATTTATAATTAGTCATCCGGTCAAATTCGAGTTTTTGGTTTTAAAGAATGAACCGGATAATTAGCTGGTATTTTCTGTGTTTACTAGTTCGGTAATTTTTAAGGGCCTTATTTTACGGGCGAAAAGCAGAAAGTAGATTGACGCGATGAATTATGAACACCCGGTGTTGGACCGCCAAGGGTCATTTTTAAACCGGCCGAAGGCCGCCATTTAGAAAGGAGTTTGACGCGATTAAATTATTAATTATTGTAACCGGATAAATAATTACAAATTATTTGTACGGCAACGGATAAATAAATAAAAATTATCTTACAGTAACCGGATGAATATAGTCAGCCAATATTTATTTCGAATTCAAAGTTTGTATAAAAAGTTTATTTATCTGATTTAAACATACTATCTGATCTTATTATATTTACATCAACATTTAATAATAAAACTATTTTTACATAGTTATTTTTATAATTATAATATCATACTCTAATATAATTAAATACTATATAAATCTGCATATGCATATAGTACATTTGGAGCGATAATATATCTAGATGATATTGTTTGCTAGTAGATTTATAGGATCGAAAATATTTCTGCCTTTTTGCCTTTGCCTTTTGCCTTTTATAAACAAACCAGAGAATGGATTCTTAGTAATTGCAGAATAAATCACACATCATTCACATTTATCAGCAAAAACACAGTCAGTTGTATATTTAATTGACAACAAATAAGTATACACTCACACGCTTCGCATAATAACACAAATAACGTTTGAATCATATTTTAAATAATACATATCATTATTGCCAAGCATAAAGAAATGCTGTTATTTATTTTACCTCTCAATCAACCTCAAACAAATTTAAACTATGTTAGAAAGTCTTCTCTCATTCTCGTACCATCAAGTTTTCACACACGCTAACAAACATTCATGGCAGAAAGCAAAGAGTTATAACCTTGACGAGATTTAAATAACTAATCACAAGAGCAGCTATTGATAGAGATGCGAGACCATGACTGTGCAACAGAAAAAAAAAAATGAAAGAATCGCAAGATATTTCAAAAGTCGCCAAACCTACAATTTTAAATAAACGATTGCTAGTTTCACATTTATGATTATCTAAACACTCGAAATATCAATAGTATCGAGCTTGCGAGGTATCAGAACAGTAGAGTGAAGAGCATGTGTGACTGAAGAAAAGAAATGGTCGGAAGGACCATTATAAATTGTACGTAAATTGGTAATAACGATGCCATTCATCTATTGTTTATATACTACAAGGCCATAAAAGTATAATTTAAATTGAGACAATTTCCATTAAAATTAGCCTGAATGGGCAGTTGAACAGTTTATGGAATGAACACGCGTGCAGATGAACGTGTCGATCGACTGGCATGAGTTTATGAGATACATATGCTTAGCGATGATTCTTCAAAATTCAAACGAGACATGTATTGAATGAAATTCGACAAAACAGCTGGCTGTTGAGATATGGATGGTGAAAAAGTTAATCACACAATATAACAAACATATCTGCGTTACGTATTCATATAAATATGTATATTGTATATATATGATCAGTTTATATTCAAATAATCTCTAAATATCATCAAATTAAGTTGGTAAAATAACCAATGTTTCAACGTAGTCGAATATAGGCTCTATTCACATATATGGTTAAAAATATAGAGCCTCTTCATTTTAGAAATTTTGTCTAGTACTTCGAATAAACTATTAAATATCTTTATGTAAATAGAAATACAAGAAGGAGGTGCTACGTTGTGTTAAACGACATGATTGCGAAACTGCATTATTCAAATTTCTAGTAACTTTCATACCATTATGATATTGTTAGCGGATAGTGATCATTTTAATCTATGTATCACATCCACATTTTTATAGAGATAATAGTTTTAGTAAGCTTTTTGTTTCTGTTTAGGGTCAAAATACAATATCTACATTGAATTCAACCTGACTACATTCAACATATTTCACATATTTGTGCTGGGAAGATGTAGTTATATTGACTCAGTACTTGTGAGCGCTCGTCAAAGATGGACACCAGCAAAGAGAAATTCGCTATATTTTACAATTTTCTTCGATCAAGTCGAAAAGCAGCCAAAGCGACTGAAAAAATTATTTAGTTTATGGGCCCGATACTGTAAACGAGCGTGTAGCACAAAAGTGGTTTGCTAAGTTCCGTTCCGTAATTTCGATGTCAAAGATGCACCACGCGTTGGGAGGCCTGTCGTCGAAATGCGATAAATCATGAAAATAGTGAAACCGACCGTCACGTGAGCACTTATTTAATTGCTGAGGATAAGCCAGAAAACCGTTTGGAACCATTTGCATAACCTTGGATTCAAAAGGAACTCGATGTTTGGCATGATGGACCGAATTTCCATCTGCGAATCGCTGCTGAACGCGAACAAAATCGACTCGTTTTGAAGCGGATTGTGACTGGCGATGAAAAATGGGTCACTACGACGACATCGAGCGCAAACGGTCGTGGTCAAAGCTCGGGAAGCGGCCCAGACGGTGGCCAAGACCGGATTGACGCCAGGAAGGTGTATGCCTGTGTGTTTGGTGGGATTGGCAAGGAATCATCTACTACGAGCTGCTCCTCTATGACCCTCTACTGCCAACAACTGGACCGCTTGAAGGCAGGACTCATCCAGAAGAGACCATCTTTGATCAACAGAGGCCGAATTGTGTTCCATCAGGGCAACGCCAGGTCACACACGTCTTTGGTGACGCGCCAGAAGCTCCGGGAGCTCGGATGGAAGGTTCTAATGCACCCCCCTTATAGTCCGGACCTGGCACCAAGTGATTACCATCTTTTCCTGTCCATGGCGAACGCGCTTAATGGTGAGAAGTTGACCTCAAGAGAGGCCTGTGAAAATTGGCTATCCAAGTTTTTTGCCAATAGGGACGCAGCCTTCTACGAAAGGGGTATAATGAGGTTGGCACCTTGTTAGCAACAAGTTTATGAACAAAACGCCACATATTTGACTTAAATCGGACAAATGCACACAAAGTTATCATCTTTTGAAAAATCAATAAAAAACCGAACGAACTTTTTACTTTACCAATAAAGCTGTGCTAAGAAAAGCATTCTCGTATAGTTTCAATAAGATATAACCTTCCGCTCAACATGTAGGATATAAAGTGATTACGAAGGGCGAAAATCTTTTTAACTGGCACACGTGGCATGGGTAATAATTATAATAATTTAACCAATTTTGGCGCTATGACCACTTATCTGACATAAACTTAACCGAAGAGACATTATCCAATATTATAAGTTCAGTTAATTTTGCTAAGATATCTCACATATTGACCGATATATACGGTATGAGGGAGATTGACACGATTTTTTGTTTTTGGCATTACTACATGTTATTAATAGAAACAGTTGCCCACCGAGTTTAATTAAGGTACCTCCCATACCGTTAACAATGTACTCGTATAAGGAGTAAAGTCAACCGGGTGTTTGAAAATCCTGAGATTAGTTTAATGGGGGCTAGTGCAAGTTTTTAGCCGATTTCATCTATTTAAGGCACAGGGAAGCCCCGTTATGAGGAAGACACACTCACTCAATTTAATTAAGATCATTCACATATTGGCCGATATATGGGGTATAAAGTCAGCCGGCAGTTTGAAAATCTTTCTATTAGGTATATGGGGGCTAAATGAAATATTGACTCAATTCAATCAATTTTTGATATACAGACATATTACTAGGCGAAAAGGCTTCTGTTCTAATTTTAAATAATATATCACACACTTGGCCGATATTTTCGGTATATAGTCAGCCATATGCTCTGTGGTTCACATTTCCGGTATCTAGGAGCTTGAATAATACTCGTGCTAATTTTTATCCCGATATATTAATTGGTGCTTGATTTGTATACTGGAAAGTGAAAATATCAGATGAAATTTAAAATTATGTTATATGAAGGGTAGACGTGGGTGGATTCCGATTACGTACTGTAACATGGGAATTCCAAAATAGTGCTAGGTACCAATTGGTTAAAATTGGTGGGGTAGGTCCGGAGATATGTGATTTCCCTAAAATATGGGCCAGCTCCTATCAAGCTCTCTAGTGTTATTCTAGGTGTAAAATTTAATCTATCTGACCTGTTTTGTCATTGATTTATCGCAGTTTTAGCAGTTTTTAACAAAACCGTTATAAAGGAAGTAGGCGTGGATATCAACCGATTTCATCTATTTTCATGCTATCGCGAAAGGTGTCGAAATGATTTATCCTATGCAAATTTTTGTGATATAGCTTGAATATTTTGAAAAACATCTACAAACTTGACCTCACTTTTTTGCCAAGGAATACGTATTACAAGTTTCATATCGATATTTAAATTTTTACCCAAGTTACAGCTTGCACAGACAGACGGACGGACAGACAGTCACTCGGAATTCAACTCGTCTCATCATCCTGATCATATATATATATAATATATACATAACTCCATATCTATCTATATAGATACACTATTATACACTGTAGCAGTCATTCTTCAAAGTACAACAAATGAAAATAAATCTTCAATGAATATTTGAACATAACTCGATTTTGTCGTAAAACAGGCACACTGTTTAGTAACGGAGAAAGTTCGAAATCACGATTAATATTTTAAATATCATGATAACTCTCTTGTTATTATATATTTGTGGTCTTAGATGTGTATAAAAATCATATAGGATTGGCATATACTATATGTTTTCAACGTATTATACATACCATACAAAGAAAATTTTTTGAATAGTTATAGTTACATGGCCGTCTTTAATTTTTGAATTTTCTCTTACACTATAAGTTAATAATATGTGAAATAACAAATCTTACCTGTTAAAGTCATCCATGGATATCTTGGCAAATCTGCAATACTCTGCCCAGCGCCGCCTGTGGACAAAACGCCAGATGATGGCTGCGTGCAAGCGTTTCCGAGCGAGTCAACACCAACAGCGCCTGCAGAGGCGGCTGACGCAGCAGCGGCATGTTGATAAAACTGCGCAAAACTAGATGCAGAGGTGGGTGCACTCATTGATTGGTAACTGTTCATGATACTGTCTGTGTACCTGCTGTTAAAGAAAAAAACAATTTGTCAACAGTCACAAGAATGCAAATCTGTCATATTCTAATGCCATCTATCTGCCTAAACTTAGCCGCTTTGCCTCTGTTTTCTTTTCACTTAGTTTTCTTGAAGCAATTACAATAGTATTCGGTTAATGTAAGAGCTTGTGCGCTGTATATGTATGTATGGCATGTATGCAAATAAGCAAAGGTCAATGTGCGTGCGAATTTTTCTATGAAGTCCAATTCAGATATTTCGTTATGGTCAACTTAGTTCCCGCACTATTTAAAAGAAACGGTACTGTGCTTACAAATTGGCCATAATTGTTATCCATTACATAACATTGCTCCTGTTTGGTTACACACTTTTGGCAGCAATGACGTTCTCGTCAGTAGTTATGCTCTAATTTTGCAATGTGCGCTCCTACTACTTTGGGTATGTATTCTGTCTATGCCTATGCGTAACGAATAGGTGGTCGTGTGTTATTATTAGCCTCATAAGTATTTGTTGTTAAAAATAGTATCATTAGGTGATTACATTAAAATACGATTATAGGGCTAGTCATACACTACAATCAAACATTTTGCAGATAAGTTCACCTTATATTAATTATAAAAGTAATATCTTAAAAGAATCACAGCAAACTTTTTGAATGTTCACCTCCGAAAATGTATTTATTTTTATAAAATTACTAAAGCGGGAAAACTAAATGTATATATTGAATGTATGTTAAAGGTATACCTTATAATTCGATATTATTGAAACCAAACTCGAATGTGCAACATGCTCAGCAATTAACAAAACTAGAATCGTAAAATTGTGCATGTAGATATGTGTATCAAATAATTCGATATGAAAAGTTCGACATTATTTAGCGGGGTCTGTGTATTCGCCCCTACCTCTGTCTGACAAAGCCATGAATATATTTCATTAAAATCAAGTGTTGTCTTACACAAAACGAGAAAAATCCCGCAATATCCACTACACTTAACATATTTTTCAAATCTTTTAAATGAGCGGTTACTAGGTTCGGTTAATATCCCCTGAATAATGCTAAGAATATAAGAACTGGGATAATGCACCAGAAACGTATTGTTCAATTTCGTCAGTTTATTTAACAATGGTAAGAAATGTCTCGAAACAAAAAGATTTCTTCTTCTACCTGGCATAAATACTCTACTGAAAACCAAAATTCTTAGGTGCCAATTTAATTTTACAATAGTAATATATTAAAACACCTGAGATATTTTAGAGAACTTCCCGTTTGTTAATTTTAATTAGTAATTTCATTCTTAAATCTCTCCTTCGCCGGAGCTTTCTCTGCCTTCTCATGCTCTTAATTTTGGCGGAAATTGTTTCAACTTTTTATACTCTTGCAACATGTTGCTACAGAGTATAATAGTTTTGTTCACCTAAAACTAATCGAGATAGATATAGGGTTATATATATTTAAGTGACCAGAATGACGAGACGAGTTGAAATCCGGGTGACTAACTGTCCGTCCGTCCGTCTGTCCATGCAATTGATAACTTGAGCAATCTAGATGAAACTTGACTCACATATTGTTTAGCATCCAACGGAGATTGGTATTGCAAATGTAATTTGTTACAGGAGACACCTGTGAGCTAAAATTTTTTAATGTAGCAGGTGATCCAAGTAAAGATACTTTTTTCAATAGCATGTTTTTGACAGATCACGCATGAGTCGTGTCAAACTGTTATGTAATTTTTGTTCAGTATTGTTTGGCATTTCATCGTGAAAAGACTTACAACTGAATAACGTTGACAAATTATTTAACTTAATTAAAAAACTTCACGTTGTGTAAAAAATGTGTTTTGCGCGCATCGCTACGCCTACTGAGCGTACTATTCGCAACAACTGGAGCCCCGGCGTTCATTATTGGATAGTGTTCGACCGAATAGATACCGTCCAGCATGCAGTGAAGAAAATAAAGCGGCCGTAACTGAGAGTGTACACGAAGACCGTGAAGAGTCGATTCGGCGTCGTTGGCATCAACTCGGTATAGAACGATTTGGCGCATTTTACGTCGAGATCTTAAATTGAAAGCGGAAAAAATACCGCTTGTGCAAGAACTGAAGGCGCTCGACCTTCCCAAGCGATATTGCTTCGCTCTATGGGCTCTTGAAAAGTTCCAAGAAGATCCGACGTTTTTGAGCCAAATTTTGATCAGCGATAAGGTCCATTTCTTGCCCAATTGGTATGTAAACAAGCAAAAATGCCGTATTTGAGACAAAGAGCAACCTGAATAGATTCAACAGCTGCCAATTCATCCAGAAAAAACAACTGTTTGGTGTGGTTTGTGGGCCGGTGGAATCAGCGGTTCGTATTTCCTCAAAAATGATGCCGGTGAGAACGTAACCGTCAATAGATTACCGACTATTTGATGCCTGAAATTGAACTTGTGACCTCGGCGATTTCAATAAGAGTCTTTTCCCACACATCGCTCCTTTTACCTGTGGAGATATGTAAAGCCTAAAGTCTATGCGGACAATCACGCTTCGATTCAGGCCTTGGAGCAAAACATCACGCGTGTCATTCACCAGTTACTGGTCGAAATGCTCGAACGGGTCATCGAAAATTGGATTCAACGGATGGACCATTTGAGACGTAACTGACACGGCCAACATTTGAAAGAGATGTTCTCCAAAACATAAATTCCAAAGAAAGTCCTTTCGAATTATATTAAACATTCCCCATTCAATTTAAGTTTTCTGGTTTTTTTTTATAAAATAGTAGGGCACCTCGTAATGGATCACCCAATACTTATCTTCCAAACCTCTCAAGATATATCAACCTGACTTGCTGAGAAGAAGTCATATTATCACATTCAAGATCTGTTAAAATGGGTAAAATCGGATATCATGAGTAAAAGCAGGCCAACAATTTCCTTAGCTCCAATATACCTAACATAAATATTTTCGAACCTCTGGTTCATTTTATACCGCATCTATCGGTCAATATGTAAGAAATCTTAATGAAATTGAGAAAGAATATTTTTCTAATAACAGTGTATCCTCTTTACTTAAACGGCGACAATTTGATATAAAGTTTTGCTAAAACCTAAAGATGTTCCTCCGGCTTTGTTCCTTGCAAGTTGCAAGAGTATGAACTGTTCGGTTACGCCCCAACTCAGCCTTTTCTTACTTGTTATTTATTAAACTCATATTTACTGTTTCTATTAAGTACAAATATAAGGTGATTAGGGATAGGTTTGATTTATTCTCCTATATGGGTCATTTTTAAGCGATCATAATTAATAAGCCTTCAACGAATGATTAATGAAATTTATTGTGTGTTTTTCTTATCAGACCTGCCCTGATCTGTCTCTATCTTATGCTATTATTGAAGATTTGCATACATTCTTTGGCTTTAGAAAGCCCAGATGTATAAAGAATGCCAAATTAATTACACTGCAATTATTCTACAGTTGTAAACCTGATGAATATTACTACTCACCTGCATGATTTGTCCTCCAGTCCGGAAAAGCCTGGCATGCCAGAGATGCCGTGCGATGATGGGTGATTTGATACGTATGGATACATTTTACTGGTAGGTATTGCAAATGAAGAGGCAGCGGCGGCGGCGGCTGCTGCTGCTGCTACAGTGCTGGCAGCTGCAGCGGATGCAACAGCGACGGCGGATGCGGCGGTGGGTGAGTGATCGCTGATGCTGCGATGCAGCGAAGATGACGTGGCTGAGGGCGAGGGTGAGCAACTGCTATCTCCTGTTTGGGAGTTAGTTCCAGAAGGGGGTGTGAGCAACAATTGCTGATGGGACAGTTGCTGTTGCTGTTGAATGCTGTGAGTATGACCTAGACCGTTACCACTTTGCGAACTGACAGCTGCAGCAGCGGCAGCTAATTTATTTATATGTAATTGTTGTTGTTGCTGTTGTAAATGTAAGGCGGCCGACAAAGAATATTGGTTGTGATGTTGTTGTTGCTGGTGGTGATGTTGGTGGTTCTGCTGCAATTGCTGTTGTTGAGTTGAAAGGGTTCCGAAAGTAGTTGACGACGGCGAAGACGAGGACACCGGTGAGTTGGACGACTGGTTTAAATGACTGCTGCTAATATTGACGCTAGGCGTCGATGGCGATAAAGACGATGAGTGGACGGCGACAGATGATATGTGATTACCGCTATGGTAACTGTTGGAGTTAATGCCGTTGTTGTTGTTGGTAAAGCTATTGGCTAATGTATTAACGGAAGCCGTAGAAGAAGCTGCGGCGGCGGCGAGGGCGACGGCAACAGCTGCTGATGACGAATTTTGTGAGGTTGAAGTTAAATGTGAACTGATAAATGGCTGAAACTGTGGATACTTCGGTAGCATACTATCGAAAACAAATTTTGACATTGCACATTATTTTATTGCCTCGCGTTTTCGGTCTTTAAATTTGCTTATTTTTGCTTATAGTTTATGCTAAATGCTTTCATAGTATTTATCGAATTTCATTCATAATTTGAATTGAACGAAAATTTAGGGAATAGCTTCGATTTAATGGAAATTTTATGTACGAACTTGTATTTCTCAATATGAGATAACCGAATTTTAACTTAAGCTTTCATTAAAACAAACCAAAAATTACGGAAGTAAATTAAGTGATATTGTAATTAAAACAAAATAACTCAATAACTGATCTTTTCTCTGTATTACAAAGAAGGAAATATATTTTTCATATATAGCACCATATAATTAAAAATGATCAGTCTGCTAAAATTAAGACAAGAAAATACCGAATAAAAAGCAGTAACCTTTTCCAACATGATTTGATAAATTGAAAGAATTGAATGCGATTCTCACCCTGACGGTTCCGATTTAATCTAGTTTAAGTAAATGAACTTTCTTTGTAAAAGGAATATTTGTAATAAGGTAAAATATCCGTTATATTAAAACAAATTATGGAACATATTAAGTGTTTTCATTTATAAAGCCAGTAATATTCAGTCGGCGGACAAATTTGTAAAGATAGTAAACTACATTGTGGAAGATGAGAAAATAAAAAACAGATAGAATTAATTTTTGTCTACTAATTGCAAATACCAAGGCGATATTAGTGAAAAGAAAATATGAAACAAATAGAAATATGACCATAAGTATAGACAGCTATTACGGAGCATTTGTTAGTAGACAGCAAAATAAATTTAAAAATATAATAAAATAAAAGAGATATATAATTTCTCTGAAAGAAGATCTAATGAGTAAATAAATGTGTAGTTTAATTCAAAACTAAATGTGTTTACCTTTTAATGTATATATATATATCTATATATATGTATGTTATATCGCGATTGTTTATTATTTAACACAATTTTGGAATATTTATGTAATTAGGAAAAACTTTTTTTCAAACTTATTTGATTTATTTATATTGAATGTATTAATTTAAACATTTATGTATATTATGCACTTGTATTTACTTTGTGTTTAAGTATATAATATATTGCCAATTTTTCTGTACGCAATTTAGAAAAAATTAACTAATGGGAAGTGAATAAAACACAAACACAACACTTCTTCACATTCACTTTGGCGTATGAGACAGCGACGGCATTGAAACCTATCACTTTTGGTTTCTAAAGTAGTAGTTTTATTACTATTGCGATTAATATTATTATTTTTATCATTAGGAACTCAAAGCGAAAATTATATAAAATTAATCTTGTTTTCAGTGCTGTTTAGATAGTGAAGGAAAATCAAAATTTCACGAGTCAAAGTTTATCAATAAGCTCGCAACACTTGCTTATAAATTCATTATTCAATGATACATAAAATGTAAATCTGTGAAAAATACGAATGATCGGGATTCCTGAAATTTGAAAATGTTAATATTTGGTATTACTATGAAGGTAGTTTTGTTCTGTTTTCAAATTTATACACAAACATGTACGAGTATGTACCAATTAAAATAACAGATGCATAGTTTAATTCAACACATTTGTGCAGGTATGCCAGTCATTTTTAAAACGCTTTATGAAAAAGTGAACCATATATGTCGAAAGTTTTTCTTCCATGCAAGTGGTTCTACAACTACTAAAATCATTGTGCAAATGGTCCATATGAATTTCTGTTAGTCCATAACTGCAGCTTTTCTCTTTGAAATTACTGCTGAAACTGATGGTAGTTGTTTGTTCTTCTTCTTTGTATTTTTTATGTGTTGTACTATGACTTGTAATTACAAATGCGTCAGTTTTATGACTATTTAATTTTTATGGTTTTTTCTAAGTGTTCTACTGGTTGTTTGTTAGATCGATCTTTAGCAAGGGTATTGTGGCTAATAGTTGCTCGCTCATTGAACTCGTTTTCAAAATATGTACTTATAGATTTTAGAAAAACTCTCGCACTTGGCAATTTACGCAATTGAAGCAAATCCAATTTTTTATAACTTCGAGAAGATGATTTTCCCGAATAGCTAATGTTGGTTTTGGTAGTAGTGTTCTTGAACTTGGTACATTTATACAGCATACGTACTCATTTGAATTTCTGTATTATGCTTTAGCACGTAATAATCACTATTATAATATAACTTTCATCATAAGACAGCGTTTTTGAGATATAACAATATTTGACGCACTTTGGCAACACTTCCTGGCAAAATTAAAACGAATGCAATGGTGTTGATCGGTAAAAGACTCTCTGTCTTGTATGTTTTAAAAGGCTTAAACTTTAAAAAAAGATTACCACTAAAGCCAACAGCAGGAAAAACAAAATGTACAACACATGAATATGGAGCATAACAACACATAACAAAAAGAGTAATAACATTAAGTAATAATGATAATAGTAATAGTAAAATATTGCACAAATACGGTTTATATCAACAGCGTTACGCGTGCAACGTTCGACGTACATACAATATATGATATATGGCAATGGCGTATGGCGTTTTGACGATTGTCGTTCGTATTGTAATAATAATCACAAACAGTTAAAAGACAATAAGACGCGAATTTTGCTTTCACGGCACTCGCTCGTACACTTTGATATCAAATCGTTGATTCGCTATTATTTTTGTGTACGCTTGGCTACGCTTCTGTTGTTAGTCGGGTACACAACGTCAGCGCTAATACTAAATCGCTAAACGCTCCGCAGACACTACTGCGCTCTACGATAATAAATATTATAATAAAACGAAATTTTTAAAAGAGTATAAAAATTCGTGTAATTGGTAATATCTGCGCTTTTGTACGCGCTATGACTATACACACATTTGAGGCAGCAGCAGCAGCGACGCTTACGCTCCAGCGACAGCAACAACGACAGAATCCGCAGCTTTACAATCCAAAAGTAGCAGTTACGCCTCAGATCTAAAACACTCAAATATGGTTGATATACTACGCTTGGGCAGCAGCGGTGAGGCTCAGTGACCAGCGGTATGAACAAATAGGGCGACCCATTGAAACGAAGTAAATATAAGTTTGAATGAGTTGAGTGAATATTCGTAGTGGTACTCAGTAACTGATTGGGATTTAGTTTCTATGTGTAAGTAATTGAGCTGCACGGAGACGAAAAGTAAAGCTAATTGGAATGTTGCAATTTTTTGCACATGTGAATTTCATCTGGAAGAGAACTGAGCTACTGGGAGAGAAATTGGTGGATGTAGGCGCGCTAAGAGTATGTTGTGAGTGGATTTGATTAGGAAGTTCAATTTATATATGTATATACTCACATAATTGCACTATAGAAATGATAATAGATAATATTACCACATAAAAGTACATTTAATCTAATTGGAACAATTAGATATTTAATATTATTTATGTGTTACCGTTTCAAATGCAATAACCACGTTTATCGTACGTACCTCTATCAAGTTATGTATATTTAAATACACATACATAACATATGCATGTATGGTATATGCTAATATATGTACATAGCTCGGTCGTGAGTTCACATTACTCGTCTTAATTCTGTTCTTTGAATACCTCATTACATGGCAATAACACTCATAAAGTCCGGAGTGCAGATCTAAAGAAAACCAAAATAAATAAACCGCAATTTAACACTCAACAGCCGCAGCAACGTCTCGGTGCAATCGTTATACGCGATCTTTCGCCGCGCTGCTATAGTTGATGTGCTTTTCCTCTGCTCCCAGGCACCACGTTCGTTGCCTCATTCACTCTTTATAATTCCAGCGCTTCTTATAGGGTTGTATGATTCTTCTTCTATTTCATTCTTTCTGTCGGGTGTTAACATAACGCTTGCGGCTTGCCGGCAAGAGTACTCAATTACATCTGACAGAGTGGCAGTGAGGTGTATTTGTGTTCAGCATGTGATAAGTGCATTGACGGTTTCGGTTTGCTATTTGAGTGAAATAACACAAGAATTTAATTTTGTGGTTTATTTTTGAGTACCTTTCCATGACACTCATTTGTAGTTCTCCATATGAGTTCTTTACATTTAAGAATTGTTCTCTGCATATATGGTATATATTCTAGAGACTTTACTACTTTTTCGTTTTGTATTTAGTGAGTGTTCTATGGCTGCTAATATTCTGGTTAATAGCGTGCAAATTTCTACTGAAAGCAGAAACCACTCTCCCACAACGAACTAGTTTGAGTGCTGTTTGTTTGCACAGATAAAAGAGCTGTTTGAGACTATGTTTACACACACAAGTATATTTTAGAAATCTATATATTTACCTACATATAGACGTACATATGTACATATATTCATATGTGTGTACATACATACGTGAGTGAATTTGGCAACAGAAACCACGAGATATTTGAATTAAAACTCCATGAAAGTAGAAAATTAAAACAACTTGATTTGTTTTTAAAATGTTTCTTTTTAATAATTTTTTTGCATAACTGTCAGGAAAGTAATATAATTAAACTAGTAGAATGGGTAGGCCAGTGCCTTTATTTTAGCTATTAGAGCAATATTATATTCTCTATATGGACATGTCTTCAAGAGCTCCACACGATAGTCATCTTGGTCCTATTTGCTCTTGTTATTCAAAACCCTATAAGTATCAATCCTCTGTTCTGTATAGTCGAAAACAAAATATAAAATCAAAAACTAATTTCTAAATTGGGGGTCACCTGTACCGAAAACTTAATTTTATTCTTCGTAATTTTTCTTTTTTTTTAAGGCCGTAAGGAGGGTTTAAAATGCTTTCGCACCAAATAGGGATCGTCATCCTACGTGAGTGGTGTAGCCACTAAAACACACCCCCTTCTATCATGGATATTTTTCCTTGCCCTGGGACCGCTGTCGCAATACTTGAGTGCAAGGTTTTCAAGATGGACCCATAGCGGGTCAGTTCCTACTCTCCCTGCGTTCAGGAACGCCTACTGGTTTGTAGCCAGCTTCAGGCTGACTATCTTCTATTGAGTGGAATTGGTCGGAGGGTTCTTTTCTTGATGCGTAGTACATGTTCCACGTATGAGGAAATTTGCTGCCAGTTTTCGCCGCCTGCTATCATTTTCACTATTAGGTTTTCCGTGTTTAGTTCTCCAACTTTGTTCTCTAGAGTTCTCCGAGCTTCATTCCATCGATGGCGCTTAAAGAAGGTATGGTTTGCATCATCCAGTGGTTCGTCTCCGTAAATACATGCAGGGATCTCGGCTTGTCCCAGGTTGTACAGGTGTTTCAGAAAATACCTGTCGCCGGAGAGCATCTATTTTAGGTAGAAATTCACGTCGCCGTGTTTTATACTGTGCCATATCTCTACATCTGTGATCAATTTAGCGATCCATCTTCCTTTGCGCTCCTTTGTCCCCGATCTTGCCAAAATTCGAGTGTTTGCTTCCTTGCTTGTTGTCTTGATTGCATGTGTATTTCCGTTCCAGTTTTCTTACATAACTAGAGTTGTCTTCTCTCCTTTGCAAGTAGATCTATTGGGATTACGCAGCTTATCACTAACACTGCGGATTCGGATACAGTGCGGTAAGCCGAGGCGACTCTCAGGGCTGCTGTTCTCTGCACCTTAGCAACTACTTTCCGTCTATGTTACACGTTTAATGTATCGGCCCACAGTTCACTACCATATAATAGCACTGACTGTGTTGTGTCCATGAGCAGTTTCCTTCTGCTTCCAAGCGGGCCACCGATGTTTGCTATAAGTCTTGTAAGCGACCTGGTTATATTGGCTAACTTTTTAGCAGCGTGCTGAATTTGAGCCCAGTACGTCAGTTTGTTGTCCATTCTTATACCTAGGTATTTCGTCGTTTGTATGGTTTCTGAATAAACATTCACGTTTACCT